ACCGTGAGGATTTCACAGATATATATGTTTGTCAACATTTATCAAATTGTGTATTTTATATTGTGAAGTTTATTGTATGTCAATGATACCGCAATGAAGCTGTTAAAATGGTTTTATTTCATTTTAAAAAACGCTTTGGTGATAGGGTTTTTTTAAAAAGAGCAAATTTGAATGGCTAAGGTAGCACTTTTATCTTATGGCAGTCACTCATTTCTTCCAATAAAGGATGAAGAGTTTAATAGCAAATATCGGGTTCCTGGGAGTGATACTAAATAGTCTTTTTCTGAAATTTAGATGGCAATCAATATTTCCTCTATCATGAATTTCTTATCAATCTCCCAAGCAGACACCTTGGCAGCATCTCTGATTGACTAGTCATGCTTTCCATTTCCTCACCACTCACCCTCAACTTCCACACAGTGCTCCTTACTGTTCCTTAAAAATGTCATCGGGAGAACTGAGGTGGCGGCCTAGGTAAACGCCTGTGCTCACCGCCTCCCACAACCACATCAAAATTACAACTACGATGCAGAACAACCATCATTCAGAACTGCCTGAAAGGAAGCCCTGCAGCTGGAGAAGTAAAGAAGACAGCACATTGAGACAGTAGGAGAGCCGGAGGCGAGGAATGGGCTGGGCCAACACCCGCGTTCAGCGTTTTTTTAATCCAGAGGGAGATCCTCTCTGCGGAGGCTGCGTGAGGAGCAAGGGGTCTCAGCCCCACACCCAATCCCCCAGCCCAGGCTTCCAGAGCTGGGAAGAGAAGTCCCTATAAGTTCAGGCCGTAAAAGCCAGCAGGGATTTGTCTGAGTGACAGGGCGCTGCTGGAACCCTAGGTGTTCCTCTCAAAGGGCCGGCGCACAAACTTACCCGGTCCTGTTTCTTCGGATCTCCAACGCCGAGGGACTCAGACACATATGGGGAGGAACTGGATTGTCTGGCATCACAGCAGGAGCTCAGGGGCAGCTTTCTCTCAGACTGGGGTGCTTGCAGGGGTCATTATTCCTGTGCTGGGACCTCCTCTGTCCCAGGGCTGACTGGAAGCCATATCAGTATGGCCCACACTGTTTGCTCTGCCCTGGGGATTCCCTGAGACCTCACCCCATCCAATTTGCAGCCCCACCTAAGCTGTTTGAAGCAGCTTTTCCAAATGAATGGCCTGTCCTGGCTCAGGCTTCAAGTTTCCTAAAATTTCTCAAACAAGCTTCAGCTGGTGACAGCGTTCCCCAAACCTACCAATAAAAGGCCCAAGACCTGGCTCTAGCACCAGGACTTGCTTCACAGCTGGGCCTCATCTACTACACAGCAACTCTCCCACTGTAGTTGCAGCTCGTCCTCACAGCCAATTGGCCTAGAGGTCAACTCTTCCCTGAGACACCAACAGTTATCAAGACTCAACTACAAGACTGTGCACACAGCCGACATTAGGGATGCACCTGGAGTGCCCAGCTCAGGAGACTGGGGAGGCTGAGCCCCTGGGCCCTACAGGACACCTACTACACAAGGCCACTCTACCAATTCCAGGAGACACAGAAGCTCTATGTAATACATAGAAACAAACAGGGAAGCAGCCTAAATGTGGAGATAAAGAAACATGTCACAAATGAGAGAAATGGATGCAAGCAAATTACTGGATACAGAGTTCAAAACCATGGTTATAAGGTTACTCAAGGATTTTCATGAGACTTTCAAGGATCTTAGTGAGAATATCAAAGACATGCAAAAGGACCAGTCAGAAATTAAGCATACACTAACTGGAATAAAGAACAATTTACAGGGATTCCACAATAGAGGATTCTGAGATTCAAATCAGTGATTTGAAATAAGAGGGAGCAAAAAACACCCAAGCAAAAGAGCAAGAAGAAAAAAATATGAAGAAAGTGTAAGGAACCTCTGGGACAACTTCAAGTGTACCAATTATGATGGTGCCAGGAGGGAAAGAGAGAGACCAAGACATCAAAAACCTATTTGAAGAAATAATAACAGAAAACTTCCCCTACCTGGTGAAAGAAATAGACTGACAAGTCCAGAAAGTGCAGAGAGTCCCAAACAAGAGGAACCCAAAGAGGCCCACACCAAGACACATCACAATTAAAACGCCAAGTGCAAAAGACAAAGAGAGAATCTTAAAAGCAGCAAGAGAAAAACAGTTAGTTACCTATAAGGGAGTGCCTGTAGGACTGTCAGCTGATTTCTCAACAGAAACTTTGCAGGCCAGAAGGGAGTGGCAAGAAATATTCAAAGTGATGAATAGCAAGGACCTACAACCAAGATTACTCTACCCAGCAAAGCTCTTATTTAGAATTGAGGGTCAGATAAAGAAACAAGAAAAAGCTAAAGGAGTTCATCACCACCAAACCAGTATTAGATGAAATGTTGAAGGGTATTATTGAAGAAGAAGGAGGAGAAGAAGAGACAAAAAATATGAATAATAAAATGGCAACAAATACATATTTATCAATAATCAAATCTAAAAATAAAAATAAATGAACAAGATATCTAATGAACAAAATAACCTCGTGAATAAAACAGAATCAGAGTAGGTAAGTGCAATAAGGCATCTATTTTGAGACATAATTCTCATAGTTAAAGCCAACAGCCAGGGCTATAACTTTAGAGCCCTCTCATTGAGAACAGGCTGAATCATAAACTCTTTTATTATATTAGCTTTCAATTTAGGAAGGTTGACGTTAACCAGTCAACCATTAATGCCTTTGACAAAGAAAGGTTAAAAAACTCCCACCAATAATAACATACAAAACAAAACAAAAAATAAAACCAAAACACCCTGGCCTTATCTCTTCTGTGCTGGTAATGAATTTTCTGGTTAAGTTCAGAATGCTTGCAAGTAATTGGATGTGTTTGCTAATTTAATTTACGTAAACCACTTATCTGTCTCGTCATTAGCATAATGGAGTTTCCCCGGTAGGTCTGTAGAAATTGAACTAAATGGGGGGGACGTGTTTTTAGGAGGTAGCAGAGGCAATAAATTGCAGGGGAGCTGAAAATTACACATGCTGATTAAGTTACATTTTCTTTAAAAAACATGGGTAGGAAAATGCTTTTCCTTGGCACCTGTTTCTTAGAAAGGGCAGCACAGACAAGAGAATGTAGCATCTGCAAAAGTTAAAAGAAAAAGAAAGTTAAGTTGCAAAACAGAGATGGATGGGAATGGATTGATTCTTTCAGGGAATTCTTGAGCTGACTGGGTTACTGTCTCTAACCTAAACCTAAAAGCGGTTACTCTACACTGGTATAAAAGTTAATGGAAAGAATTAAAGGAATATATCTGGGACTACTTAATCTTTTGAGAAACAATCTTTAAGGCCTAATAAGAATGTGTTTTTGTTGCTCTGTCTCCACACCCCTTTGGTTTTTCACATCAGGAGGCTCTACCTGGCTGCCAAAGCTTAAGCTCTCTTGAGCACTGTTTTGGAAAGGGCTACTAGACTCTGTGACCTGCTTCCTTGCAACAAGGAACACTTTCAAAAGGAACAAGGCCTCTTCAGGAGGAAGCTGAATAAGGACTGCTTGGTTACATTATTACTGGGACGTAGGTAAGTTGCCTTCATTCAAATAATGTATTCTTCCTGGGTTTGATTCTTGGCTGAGTTCTTAATTCCTTAGCTCTGGGGGAAAATACCAATAATCTCTGAGAGAAAATGTCCTTTGCATTTTCTTCACTTAAGTCACACAATGTCAAAGCAGTAATTGTGGAGGCTAGAGCCAAGAAAGAAAGGTGGGCTTTAGGGCATAAAGATGATGCTGTGAGAGCAGAGAAATGCGCAGGCATTGCACTAGCTAGGCCCCAAGCAAACCTGAAAGGTGATACTGGATGGTGGGTGTCTCAGGACCAGTTTAAAGTCAGAGTGCTCATAAGAATCATCTGGCTAAAGACTATCAAAGGGTCAAATAGCAATTGATGGACTTAGACACTGAAAGGACCAATAAGAGGAAATAAAGGATGGGGATGAGGGAAACCAGCCTTTTCTGAATACATATAATGTGCCATACATGCTTTTCTCATTTAATCATCCCCATAACTCAGTGGGGTGTAAATATTATTGACATACTGGTTTTATATACAGAAACTATTTTTCAAAAAGATTAAGTACATTTCCCAAAGTCAAAGGCTAATACGATTCAGAACCATCATTCAAATCTTGAGAAGTGTCTGACTTCAAAGCCAAGTGATTTCTGTTATAAGCTTTTCTGAATAATTGGATATATATTTCCAAGTGGGAAAAACAGCCCATGATGGGACATAGCCCATCTCAGGCCTACAGGTACAAATGGTAACATCTCACTAATGGAGAAGAATGGAGAAAAGGTAGAATTCAACAATACACCTTCCGTGTGAATAAATGATACATCAGATCATCAGATCAAATGCTGGCAGGGGATAGAAAAGCATGAAGACATTGATCAAGTGAGATGGAGGAGACATGAAACACACACACATACACACACACATATGGGGAGCTATGCATTATATAATGTGTTCTGTGACTTCTGGAAGAGTAATTTTATAAAGAAGAAGTTTGTTCAGTGTTGATCAATAGACAGTTGAAGCCAAAACAGTGATAGACCCTGGGAGGGTCCAGCTGGAGGGACCCTCAGTTGCTCTCTCATTGGCTAAGAACCACCACTCTATGTTTATCCCCAGGAAGCCCAGTCTTATGTTGCAGCATAAGTCAGTGTGATGTTAGCTGTTTTCTTCACTACCTGTATCCTGGAAGGGTCAGTATACTTTCATTCACAGCCTTCTTCAGCCTGGAGATGCTGGCCTATCATCATGTTTGGATTCTGGTCCAACAAACACTTGTGAATAGTTGATCAAATCGTCCCCCTCCCCTCCTCCCTGGCACCTTCTGTCTTGATAACTGAATATAACTAATACAATTATTAAATGCTTACATATTAATGAGCAATATGACATAAATTATGAGAGTTTTGACCAACCATATACCTTTTTCTTTTAAAAAATGTAAACCACGAACTTGAAAGAACCAATAATAAGTTTATTGGGTAGAACCATACAAACAGATGAGAATTTAGCGAATATTTTTCAAGTGCTATCATCATTGTAACTCTAAGCAGATAAGCCTGAACAATTATTATTAACAATTAATCCTAATTGGTTTGTCTAAATTCTAGTTATAATAAGTCATCATATTTTGCTTTTATCAAATAGTTCTCATAATGAAAGTGAAAGAAACAATAATATAATGTAGAAAAGCTCATTTCACTCAAAGGGAAAACATCCAAAAGTATTATTTTAGAAATTAATTTTGATGTCATATTCATTATAAGATATTTTGTCAGTGTCCACAGTACATCTGTGTATCAGGTTGGTTGTCTTGAAATCCTTACTTTACATATTGGAAAACAAGAATAGTGTGTTTCACAGATTTTCCAAGGCCACACATTGTGTCAGGATAATACTGGTAATAGAATTTATCTCTGATATTTTTCTTATACAGCCCAGTGCTCGAGAGACTAAGTACTCAATAAAAAAATAGTCATTGAATATAAGAACTAATGAACAAATCATTATGTTCTATAAAATAAAATAAACTATCATGTTTGCTATTTCTTTTACTCGCTAAATCAGAGAAGCTGGAGGAGCAGTTGAGCAGTAAACTCTATGCATTGTCCTACCACAAGTGTTTATTGCTACATGCAGGGGCTTTGTGAGCTGGTACCATCTGGTCAGTCCTGACAGTACACCTTTCCAGGCCCCCATAAGGAGTGTCATTAATCTTGGTTCATGGTAATTAACTTCTGTGGTGTGAGTTAGGTCCACCAGCATGTGGCCAAGACCAACTTCTTTCACAAAAGTCACTGAAAATCCATTATTAATAATGAAGATGTCTTTGATGTCCTAGCCTAATGATATTATAGTAAGACGGTGTTCTAAATCTTGGGATTAAAGAACTTAGTTAGTTGCAGTCCTTGAAAAGAAATCATTTGGCTAGTATCGGCTCTGGCTCCCTCACCATAAGGTAAGTAGAATGCTAGAAAAAAAATAACTCAATTTATTTCCTGAGTTCATTTGCCATAAGTTGAGTTGCAACTGTAAACATGAAAAGATCACAGTAGCATGACTTCTATAATTATTAGAAAAATGTGAGAAAGAACACAACTGTGTATACCACTGGGAGACAAAAGATGGCAAAGCCACAACAGTCATGCCCAATGATGTGTCGTCAAGCAAGTTAAAGATTGTCATTCATTTCATTGGCACGGATAACCAATTCCCTAAAAAACAAGTAAGACATCTCATGAGGCACTTATGTTTAAAATGTATTCCTTCAACTTTGATGACATTCATAGTTTTCCTTTTGGAGAAAGAAAAGCTACTTAACTCCATAGAAGGATCCTTTCAAAGTGCAATGAAAAGACTTTTGCATCTGTCACCCAAATGTAGTGATTGATGTAAAATTTCACCCAGGTGATATTTTCATTAGGGCACAGTCTGGAGAAATCTGAAAATTCTACGTCTCATTTGCTTGTATTTTACACAAATGATTCACCAGACCTGCCTGTATTTCCACTAGAGTGAATGTCCTAAATACAATTCAAGATAAAGAATGTCCTGATTACAATCTTAGAGAAAAAGATTATCAAACATTTCTATTCCTTCTTGTCATGTCTAAACTTCAGAGAGATTTTGAGCTCAAAAATAGCATCACAAGAAACTGATAGTACTCTTTGGTGGAACTGTAACCTGGTCTTGGAGCACAGTTACAACTAAAATAGAAATAGACATAAATACAACGAAACTATTAAACATCAACCTATTGGTAAATTGAGTTTAGATACCCATGATGAAAAGAGTAGCTTTTATATAAGTTCCTGTACTCATTAAACTTAAAGCATAGTCTGTGCTTTCATTTAAAAATACCTATCTAACTGACGTCAGGAATTTCATTTTTAATGGTGTCAATTACATTTAAAAGACCATTGTTAAGTAAACCTTAAATGAATTTGTGAACAACCCTGCGGTGATGGAAGTAGAAACATATAAGCACCCAGGCCAACAAAAAACACGAATGGCCGATGCTTGAGTGCCAGATTTCAACACGTGTGCTGATTATTCAATCCTTTTACCCATTTATTTTTCTACACCAGGCAGAACAGTAGAATAGTTTCAAAGAAATTCCCTGAATTCCTTTATGTCAATCGCCTGTGCCAGTGTGGACAAATGGAAGATGCTATTCTCAAAGTCTTAAAGCACTGATACTGGCAGCGCATGGGCCTACTGTCCTTGTGGCTTCTGTGCTGGAGAACCGGGTGGCGCGGAGCTCTCCGCTGGGCGCTGGGCAGGAGTGACCGGAAACTGAAACCCATAGCCGTTGTAACCATTCAGGTACACACATTGGAAGAAGCTGATGGGGCCTGAGGAAGGGAGCATGATAATTAGTTAAAAGAAGCAGAACGAAGGGGAGCACAGCAAGGCCCTGTACCACAATGTATGTGGACATGGGCTGGATAGCCAGGTAGCCTCGACCATGACTGGCAAGTTACCAAAACTTGGTGTCTTGGATTCCTCATGTGTAGAATTGAGACAGCAACAAAAACCTCAAAAAAATGTGGAAATGAATAGGTAATATACATAGCACTTGAAATACTTCCTGGCACATAATAAGCCCTCACTGAATGGATAATAAACAGTGGTCGGCAAACTGCGGCTCTTTGGCCCCTTGAGTCTGGCTCTTCCACAAAATACCGGCTCTTCCGCCAAATACCAACTTCTGCGCACGGGCCACGAAGTTTCAATCGCACTGTACATGCGCGCCCGCACGTGGTATTTTGTGGAAGAGCCACACTGAAGGGGCCAAAGAGCCGCGGTTTGCCGACCACAGGTCTAGCATAAACGTCCAAGGGCTTACTTCATAGACCTCTACTGATGTGCACAGCATTCAGAAAAATTGTTATGTAGGTTTCAAAACACAAGCTTATCAATATGCAAAGTAACTGACTCTTTAAAAGTGTTTTAATAATGCCACAGAGCCTTGCGGTTCCTATTGTTAGATATTCCACTTGCCTTTACTCATTAGGCAATGCCACCAGGTAGCAGCTCTGTGGTCAGAGCAGAAAGCAACCCAGGAAAGGAGTTAAAGCCGAGTGAGGCGCTGCACACAGCAGACACAAGCCTGAGCTCTGGCCCAGGAGGCGGCGGCTCCCAGGTGGCAGCTTGTTCAGAGATGGCCAGGCTCAGTGTTTTCCATCCTGTCCATTTGCAGGCTGTCACCCAACGACGGGCTTTTTTGCAGATGGCCAGGAAAGAGAATGACAGTGCAAGCTAGTAGTATGGGGAATACCAGGAAGCTGGCCAAATAAAGCAAGTAAAGAATAAAGAAAAGCCTGGGTTGAAAAAAAAGCGGAGGGAAGCAGCAAGAGATTATTCAAGAGATTGCTATTCGGGGATTGGTGTCAACTGGCTTCAATCCTGGGTTTTCAATAATGAAAAGAGTTTGGAGAATTCTTGGAAGGAAAAATAAAATCTGTTCCTTTCCACTTCATCTCATGCAGAATTATTTCCCATTTTGTTCTAGTACCGAACAGGTGCAGTATCAGACCTCCTCCCTCCCCCAAGGTTGTTGCAGCTTGGGAGAGAGACAGGCTTCTGAGAGGGATGGCATGACAGCCAGGCCTGTGTTAAGGAGGAATGGGAATACCATCGCTAAAAGTAGAAGAGTCCATCAAAGACAGTCTACTTTACAGATGAACCTTATCAGAGGTAGGTTCTATTCTAACACATTTTTTTAATCAGTGTTGAATAGGCCATTAATGAAAACATCACTATAGCCCGGCCAGTGTGGCTCAGTGGTTGAGCATCAACCTATGACCAGGAGGTCATGGTTAGATTCCTGGTCAGGGCACATGCCCAGGTTGCGGGCTCAATTCCCAGTGTGGGACTTGTGGGAGGCAGCCAATTGATGATTCTCTCTCACTATTGATGTTTCTGGCTCTCTCTCCCTCTCCCTTCCTCTCTAAAATCAATAAAAATATATTTAAAAAAACACATCACTATAGCTGCAAATTTTAGAGCTTATGTAAGTTGCATGAATATCAGACTACAGGACTACTTCATCATAAGTTGGAAATAGAAAATATTGTTTTGCTATAGTAAGTCTGCCAATTGAATTAAAATATGTAATATCATTTTACTAAAATATTGAATTGTTTATTTTTCATTAAACTTTTTATTTTTAAATAAAAAATAAAAATAAAACAGAGGGATCCCATGTACCCTTCACCCAGTTTCCCCCAATGGTAACATCTTTGAAAAATTATAGTGTAAAATCCCAACCAGGAAATTGACATTGACACCATCCACCTATCCTATTGAATTATGTTTTGAAAATTTATTTATGAAATAAGAGATTTTAAGTGTTTATGTGATATAGCCACAAATTGTTACCAGTAGATAAACAATTAGGAAAGTGTTGCTGTATAAATCAGAAACATGTCCAGATTGACTTTATGGATTTTGCAACAATATCTAAACATATTATTAAGATTGCTTGTTTTCTTGTATTCCTCATGTCCTCATAATTTGAGGGGTTGTAATGAGCATCTCTAATAGCTAAACAGAGTTTGGGACACAGTAGGCACTTAATATTTGTTCAATGAATCACATACTAATACAGAGTAGGAGGCATTTGCTAATGCAGAGGGCATTTTCATAATTTCCTGCAGAAATACATTTAAGAAGCATTGTAGAACCCAGAGAACATTAACATCATTTCCTCAGGTAAATGTCTACTCTTTACTTTAAAAGCATTATGTAGAACAAACTCCAGTTATACCAATTTTAAAAATTGCTTCTTTTATTCTGCTCAGCAACAATTTTATTGCATATATGAATCCAAAATTGCTATTCAGATGGTATTGCTTTAACAACTGAAGAAAAATGTCTAATTTGGAAGTAGAGGAATAATGAGAATCATGGGCATTGAATTTTGTAACTGCATATGAATACTGATTGCATTCTAAAATCAATGATCTCCAAAATTGAATATTAAAAGATTACCATCTAGCTAGAAAAATAAAAAAACTTTCCATCAATGACATACCTACATTTTTTTTTGATATAAAAATGTTCAGCTTATCACTTCAGCTGTCTTTTTTTATAAAGCAGACAGTAACATATCTAAGCATAGATTCAGCTGAAGTGCTCAGATCAGAGCGGCGGAGAATGGTTGGCGACAAATGCCGCTTTAGTCATTATTTTGTAATTCCTCCAAATACGTGCATCTTGCCTGACACAAAAAGTAATGAGCTACTCTTTGAAGTATAAATGATCCACTCTAAAGTTATTCTTCATGTACTAAAAACCTTTTTATTCTCATACTGGTCTTCAGAGAATTTGGTTTTAATGTATATGTACCACCTTTACTACAGATCCACAAAACAGTTTTAATCTAATTATAAACTTACTTTTTTGCTTCTTTGTGGAAGACACATCTTCAGCTTCTTCTAGTGGATAAAAAATAAGAACATAAATCACTTTTTCGTTCACAGCTGTTATACAACAAATAGGTAGGGGTCTGAGAATGTCTAACCAGGTACACGGCATGAAAGGAATGGGAATTACTTGTCCTCCTCACAATACACTCTAGGGCAATGATGGCGAACCTTTTGAGCTCGGCGTGTCAGCATTTTGAAAAACCCTAACTTAACTCTGGTGCCGTGTCACATATAGAAATTTTTTGATATTTGCAACCATAGTGAAACAAAGATTTATATTTTTGATATTTATTTTATATATTTAAATGCCATTTAACAAAGAAAAATCAACCAAAAAAATGAGTTCGCGTGTCACCTCTGACACGCGTGTCACAGGTTCGCCATCACTGCTCTAGGTTCTGATTCAGATTCTGTTCAGTCTTTCACTATAAAACTGAATAGGTAAGAGCCAGCGATAGAAGAGGAGCTGATGAAAGAAAAGAATGTAGCATGCCACAGGCAACTGTTCAAGTAGGACACTTCTTGCCCTAGCCAGTTTGGCTCAGTGGATAGAGCGTTGGCCTGCAGACTGCAGGCTCGCAGGTTCCATTCCAGTCAAGGGCACGTACCTCCTTTGCAGGCTTACTCCCCTGCCCCTGCTCCTGGTCCATCGGTGGGTGGGAGGAGGGAGTGGAGGGAGGACAGATAGGAGGCAACCAATTGATGTGTGTCTCTCACATCAATGTTTCTCTCTCTGTGTATCTTTCCCCCTGCCTTCCACTCTCTCTAAAAATCAATGAAAAAAAAATGTCCTTGGGTGAGGATTAACAACAACAAAAAGACAAATAGGAAACCTCCTGATGTGTTGGATTTTGGTGGGCAAGGGCTAGCAGACATACATTACGTTCTTAAGAGAAAACATTGATGCTCAGTGTTATAATAATATGGTCAAGGTAGAATCTGGCTATAAGATGACAATTTTAGTGAACATAATTCTAAATTTCTTTCTCAAAGTGTTATGTTCTACACTGTTAATTCTGGGCACTGCCTCAGAACTTACATTTTCATGGCAAGAACAACTCTTAGGCAAACTCTTATTGTCCACAGGCAGGTTTAAATAAGTAGAAGAGAAAATAACTGCTCTATAACAAGCCAAATTAAGAAGCCAGGAAACCCTTCAGGGAAAAATAATCCATCAAATTACTTGAAACCCTTGCAATAAAGATGAAATTTAGTCCTGAGAAGACTCGCTCAGGATCATGCATCTCATTGTACCAGATTTTTCTGAGGTTTGAGACCCTTCCTTCTTTCCTTCCTTCCTTCCTCCCTTCCTTCCTTCCTTCCTTCCTTCCTTCCTTCCTTCCTTCCTTCCTTCCTTCCTTCCTTCCTTCTTTTTTCCTTTATGCTATTGCAGCTAGTATAGGCAAGTTATCTTAATTTTTTAAAAAAATATATTTTATTGATTTTTTTACAGAGAGGAAGGGAGAGGGACAGAGAGTTAGAAACATCGATGAGAGAGAAACATTGATCAGCTGCCTCCTGCACATCTCCCCACTGGGTATGTGCCTGCAACCAAGGTACATGCCCTTGACCAGAATTGAACCTGGGACCCTTGAGTCTGCAGGCTGACGCTCTATCCACTGAGCCAAACCAGTCAGGGCGCATCTTAATTTTTCTTAATAAAAATATGTTAAGCTAAGATTTCAACATTTATGTGCTTTTCCTTGCTAACATTCCCTTAATCCTTGGTTATATGATAATTTTGAAATATTGCTCTTGCATCTAATAATTACTTATAAATAAATCAGTGTCCATTAGTAACTTCAATACATAAAGACACACACACACACACACACACACACACACACACTCATACAAATAATAGAAAAAAATGTTTTTTGAAAAAACACATCCACCATATAAACATTGCTTAGGAAAAGTTAAGGGCTAGGACGACAGCAGTTAAATAAAATAGGCAGCTGAAATATTATGGTCTTGAGAAAAAAATCGTAAGTGACCTTAAGATAATAAACTCACCTTCAGCTTTCTTCGGAGCTGGAACATCTTCAGAGTCTTCTAGGGAGTAAACAAAAAGATAGTTTATTTTCCAGATTTCCCAAAGAGAAAGTATTGTATTTAACAGGTTTTAAGAGTCACAGGATCTCTTAACTTATAAACTAAGCATCTAGTGTCTCTGCAAACAAGATCCTCTGAAATAAGGCAACTTCTCCGACTTACAGACATGGGGAGAAATGAATGCCATGATGCCTGGACCATGGGCAGCACAGCGAAGGCTGGCCAAAGCAAGGAGGGCCTGCGGTGACCCTCCCAAATGGGCCCCTCCTCCCCTGACTCCTAAATTGTCTTTCAAAATCACAATCACTTTTAGAATCTAGAGAATTTGAGGTAAATGGATTCTCATACACAATGTAGATCAAGAGGAAAATATCCACCCATATATTTTACTAACAAACTGATGTTTGATACTTGTAAAGGCAATTAAAAGACATTAGATGTTGAACTAAAGCCTAAATATATAAAGAATGCATCTTAAGATGCATTATTTATATTGCTCGGTTTTTGTGTAGTCTACTTAAAAGTACATAGTACAATAACATGGAAATAATTTTGGCAGAGATAATTCTAACACAATATAATTAAATGATCTTTAAATTCTCATAACTTTTAGCACTTGTAATGATCTGAAAGAAGGTCAGTTTTGAATTATTTACTCATGTTTTGCATACCAGCAGTTCACAAATAAATAAAAAAGAGGAAAAATAGGTCATTATGCAAAGTTTCTCAAATGGGAAAGAAAGGCGACCTTTTGGAAGAAATGTTAATATGTAAAAGAAAAAATGGGCAGTAGAAAAATAATTACTAGCCTTTTTCTTCATAGCAAATTAGTAGAGTTTTAACCTGATTAGTTTTCTAAAAGATTTAAATGCAGGCTAAACTCACCTAAACACTGGATTAAATGCCAGTGGTCTTAAACTGTTCAATCAGCAGATTTAAATAAAGGTACAGTATAAATGGCTATAGGGCATTTTGATGTAACTGGTACCCGTATTTAAAGAATGATGTGAGAGTTGTTAGGTAAGTCCAATAATATTTTAATTGTGAATTAAAAATCTGGTAATGTTTATGGAAGATGTTTACAAAATTAAAATGATGCAAGGTCCTTGTACATAAGAAATATACACTCTATTTTGTATATTACAGCACACTTAAAACTAAGACACCTATCCTCTGGATCTATTTGTTACCCCTGGGGAAATAAATGTGGAGAATAAACACCCTAGCTTCTTCTCTATCCCAAATGCTAGTTTTACAGTCAAAGTGAAATTTACCCTGAAGTTTTCCTGTAATTTGTTCATATAAGAAACAGTTACTTTTCAGCTATAATAATTACAATGAGCTTTCTTTCTGGGCCATCTACTCTTTTGAGTATTTTACATATGTTTCCACTTAAGCTTCACCATAGACCTACAAAGCAGGTAGAATAATCTCCATTTTGTGAGAAAACATTGAGGTTAAAATAATTTTCTTTCAAGCAACACATTTTAAAAAGTGGGCTAGAAGATAGGAAGTGAATTTTCCTCAATTTCTAGACTTTTGTGACTTTAACTAGACTATTCTATCTCTACATGCAAAGCACTTTGCTATGTGCCCTGAAAGAACCAAAAAGAAACATAATGCTACCTGGAAGTAACTGGCAGCCAAGTGGAGAAAATGGACATGTACTCAAACAGATATAAGATTCTATGGACTTCGAGGTAGTATGTGACAATTGCCAAAATGCTAGTAAATGAGAGATGTTTTCAAGGGTGGAATGGTCACTTCCTCTCAAGGAGATCAAATAAGTGTTTCTGGAATTTATACCATTGGAGATGAACTTTGAAAGTTCATTTAGTCAGGGGTAGGAAGAATATTCCAGTAAAACAGAATGACAGGACCAAAGTTTCGGATGCAGGAATGTTGAGAACATGGAAATTTATACTGGGTTTAAAGCTGTGATAGTATAGAAAATGATTATAGAAAAAATATTTAAAATCTAGTTTAAGCCTGGATCATAGAGACTCTAGACCAGTGGTTCTCAACCTGTGGGTTGCAACCCCTTTGGTGGTCGAAGGACCCTTTCACAGGGGTCGCCTAAGACCATCCTGCATATCAGATATTTACATTATGATTCATAACAATAGAAACATTACAGTTATGAAGTAGCAACGAAAATAATTTTATGGTTGGTCACAATATGAGTAACTGTATTTAAAGGGCCAGAAGGTTGAGAACCACTGCTCTAAACCCTCAGGTAAGAAATGTAAAATGTATTCTAAATTCACCAAGAATAAATATTGAACATTTATTACATAAATGGTGTAATCAGTTTGAAATATTGGAAAATTTTATCAATAGAAATGAAAAGGAAGGATGAAAGCTATTATTGAGAAGATAGGCTTCAGAACAATTTGAGGTCTTATCCACAAAGGGGTAGATAGCAAGTTTGGATGAGCCCACCGACGAAGTGCAGAAGGGTAGGAAAGAGAGCTGAGAATGGGAGAACTCAGCCTCGGGGAAAAAGTAGCAGAATTCTAATACTGAAAACAACAACAAAAAATGTCCTACATTATGGGAATCAAGAGAAAAAAACAATTCAAAAAGTGTGGGAGACCAGCAATGTTTAGCGCATCTTAGTGATTTCAAATGGAGGAGAAGTGAGAAAAGGTAATGAAATTTTGTGCTTCGGAGGTCTGAGTTGAGTTGGAAGTGCCCTATTGGAGGAAAGTGTCCACATAATGTTCAGGTTGCATAAAATTGAAGCCTGAAGAGGTGGTGAAGGCTGGCGGGAGACTTGTTTCAGAGTTGTGATTACAGGTGAAAGCAGAGCAAAGGCACAATAGCTTCAGGAAGCAAAAAGGGTCAGAGAAATTTTACATGTGAAAGTGATCTGAAGATATTTGTAGGCAAGAAAAGGAGGAGGATTTCTTAGAGTAAGAGCTTAAGGTACGTGATTGAGGAGCAAGGATTAGGGGAGGCAAGAAGGACTGGAGTCAAGATAAACATGATTTTCGAAGCAGCAATGCTTTTTAACATGGGAGGATAATGTTAGGTAAAATAATGGGAAAAATAAAAAGAAATTGTAATGTGGAGAGAAGGAACATTTTAAAGAATCCACACTGAGGGCATAGACTGTTAATTTTATTATTATTTTATTTTTAGGATAAAATGTTCTGTGTAATGCCCAGTCTGCTCTGAATATTCTTAGCAAACATGAGAAATAAATAAAAACTTCTTAAATAATGCATGTGTGTGTACCAGAAGTTGCTCTATATTTACTTCCATTAGCAGCCTATTTGAATTTGTGCAGAGTTTTAAGAAATACTCATAGGTAAATGCAGACAAAAGGGTAACAGCATGAAGTTTGTATTCTCCATCACTCCTCTTTCTTTAATTTTCTGCATCACTTTGTCTTTGCAGAAATACCAACAACTCCAAATTATTTTCTCAACTAATTTGCTGGATTATGTGTAAACAGTATGAGATTTTACATTCTAAGAGTTTACGTGTTTTCTCTTTTCCAAGAAATCCTAAGGATCCACAGTAGTTCAAAGTAGCAGTTGACAGCCAGATTATTTTAGCTATTAGTTATGAAAGTCATCTGGGCATGCTAGCATTTAAAATGATCTTGAGTGTTAAAGAAAATTAACTGGTACACTGAGCAATATCCACCGAATTCTTGAAATGGGCCCCAGGGAATAATAAAGCATGCAGAGACCGTCCACCTTGGGGATGTTGCTCAAAGTGAAGCAATGGTATTCAATAAACGTGTGCAGTCCTTTCTGAGTGTCTGTCCTGTCACTCTGAGGATAAGGCACAGCTGTCTCGAGGGCAATGTCAGAGCAACTGAACATCACCAGGAAATGAATGAGGACACACTGCTGGTGTCCAAAGACTAATAACTACACCAGTCATTTCCACACATCAATACGCCCCCTTCCTGACCCAAATGACCAATTGTTGGTAGAGGACCTAGTCCTTCAAAACAAACAGACAAAACAAAACAAAATAAAACAAAAACCCACAAGAAATGTAGGCACTAGAGTGTCGCTAGAGAATGTGAGTAGAAGGGATCGATGGCTTCAAAGCAGGAGCTATTTCGTAAACTTCCTTTACTAAGAGACAAATAAATGACCAACAAATAAATAAGAAGTCTAATCCCCCAAATTATACATGTATATAATGTTGAAAAGAGGGTTCAGAAAAATAACAATGAGGTCTGGACTTAATTTATCTTTTTCCAGTTAACAACCCTAACCATAGTTCAAGGTACAAATGCTAGAATTACTTCCTTCATAAAGTCTGAACTGACTAATTTGGCTGTAGGGGAAAGGTGTGGTGGAGGGTAGTTTCAGAGGGCTTTACTGAGGATCAACTCTAAGTTTTGCTCTTGCATTAGTGAGGCAAGTTTGTATCCTTTTAATTATTATCCGTTTTAAAATTTCTAAAGCAAGTTCATGTGGATTTTTATTTTTTGCAGAAAAAGAATTTTTAGTGATATACGTAGCTTTGGGGAATTGAAATGTGACCAGTAGAAACTGAAATGTTCTGTAAATATAAAATACACACACGATTTCAAAAAGCTCAATATAAATAATAATGTAAACTGGTCTGTAAATGTAAAATACACACACAATTTAATACATTTCTATATTTATACAAGTGGACTTGGTATTTGTATGTTTAGAGTTAAATAACATTATTAAACTTATTTTTTTTTTTTACTCTTAATGTGTCAACTCGAAAATTTTAGTTGGCTTGCATGATATTTCATTAAATAACACTGATTTAAAATGATTTGTTTTTCTTAATCTGGATACATGGAAATAAAAATGATTATTTACTGAAGTTTTGGGAACTTACAGAAAAATATGCAGTTGTAACCTAAACATTAAGAGCCCCATCTGTATCTAGGTCTTGATATTTTAGAGAGTGTTTTCTGAGAGCTTTGTCTGTTTATGCTATACAAGATTAGATCCATTCCTATGTTATTTGCAGATATGCAATTACACTTAAGTTAATGAAGATTAGGAAACAACAAAACTAAACCATAATTACTTGACCTTCTATGCTGTATAGAAAATTTTTAGTGATTAAAGGTTTAAAACAGAAACAAGATTATTTTGTTTCATTCTACTTCAACCACTGAAAACATTTATATATTTGAATGCAGGTCATTAATCTTCAGACTCAAGAACATGATAAAGTATTTCTGTTACAAGCTATCGTTTCAAATGATGTAGTTTTGTGTGTATTTTTAAGTTTCAGCATAAGTAAGATTAAAAGTTAACAAATTCTTGTCAGAGTTTTCAATATAAAATGACTCAAATTTGAAATACATTAAGCGTATAAATATGTTATGAATTTCAGTTTGAAATTCATACTGTGTACCAAAGAGAATTTTTCATCAATAGAAGCAGTACTTACTTGATACTCTTGCAGGTTTTTCTGCTAAAAAAACAAAATGGAAACAAGTTCTGTTTAATTCAGATAAAATGCAAAGAAATTATATATATCAATGAACTATATGAAAGTTTCTAATATCTTTTTACTTTCTCCTTATTGTTAATGAAGAAATATAACTCTATTGCCTGAGAACATGGATCTGTGAATCTCTTAATTGCTTTTATGTGAGATATTAAAAAAAGCTATTAATCATTGTAGGTGTCACAACATGTTTATGCTTTTTAAACACGCCTCTAAAATCAGCAGGATCTTTTTTAAATTAAGTGTTTTGGCTCGACTATAATTATACCTGATTTGGGAAAATTACTTTGGATGATATAATTAATCTAAATATTTGCTTTTAAGTTTCCAAATTTCATAAAAATATATCATTGAAAATTATTTTCCTTTCAAAGGTGAATAAAGACAAATAACTACCAATTGAACTATAAAATCAAATCTTAAAAACAATATACAAAATCAGTTTAATTTTTCATAGCTATTTACTTATTAGTTTCAATGAGAGATCATAATTCTTCAAAGTAACATGGTTTTCCATTAAACTGTATGTATGTAGGACAAAGATATAAAGTGAGATGATTATCTCAAATACTATAGCAGACATTCCAACTTCTTGAAAAAGAAGAGGACTGGTAACACCTGCATCCTACCAACATTAGTCTAATTTAGAAGAGTAGGCTTAGAAATACTAATTTTTAAAGGAATCTGCATTATAGAATTTACTTTGAGACTTGTAGAGTTTCTTTTTTAAAAAAAATATTTTTATTGATTTCAGAGAGGAAGGGAGAGGGCATGAAAGGTAGAAACATCAATGATGAGAGAGAATCATTGATCAGCTGCCTCCTGCATGCCCCCAAATGGGGATCCAGCTGCAATCTGGGCATGTGCCCTGACTAAGAATTTAATCTTGACGTCCTGGCTCACCCACTGAACCACCCTGGCTGGGCAAGTCTTGTAGAGTTTCTAATATAGACTTAATTCTGAAGTTTCTAAGAATTACAAATTTACAAAAATTAAGTTAATGCCAAGAGAAAATGTTTTTAAAAACATTTCACCTGGGATCCGATGTTTTAAGTGCTATTACAGCAACACACCTCATATATAAATAGGAAAATAAATAAAATAATGCAGGAAAATACTTCTCTAAGGCTAACATGTTATTATATTTTTCTTTAAAAATACTAGGTTTGGCTAGAAAGAAGGTAACTTAGAAAGGAATCAAACATTTTTGAGATATAAAAACTGTTGAATGAAGGAATGAATAGAAAAGTGGCAATACTCTCAACTAGCTGGGCTTGTGCTTTCTTATGTAACAATTCTTTTCTACCGTGTGTATTCATAATATAAAGATCTTAAAATGACGCAGTCAAAGAATGAAATCAGAAAGGAGTATCCACCCAATGTCTGAACCCCTTGCTCAGCCCTCGAATCATAGCTTTAACAGACCACCTCCTTGGGAACAGTGTGAGATCCATTTATCTTTAGGCTGCTCTGGTTGGTACAAAGCTTTCCCTTTTATTGTCACCATGTAATAGGAGAATAAAATATGATTGAGTAGGCTTAACTGTTAAATCTCTGGCATCATACTGACTTAGAACCAATTCCTGAATCTGCCATGTAAACACCCTGAGATATCAGACTTCTTTTCGTCACACTTACATCACCTTTAACCTGGGCATGATAATTGGTCCTGGACTAAGGTTTAAATGAACTGATAATAGAAAAGGATATGGCTATGGTTGTTTTTTTTTTTTAAGTAATTGGTTTCTTCTCATTCTTCTAGTTGATTATCTTAAAAGATATTCACATTTTGGGAAAAATTCCAATATGCAAATTGTGCTCCTATATCTTTCTACAAATGTGTTTTGCTCTCTTGCTCTAAATTTTACCCCTTAATATTACTGATAACTATATGTCTAAATTATTAATAATTTTATATCTAAGTTATATGTCTAGAAATGTGCTGCCATTTCAGGTACACATTCTACAACACCAGCAACAGAGAACCGGTGAAAAATAAGACCCTACCTGCCACCCCATCCCAACACACACACTGGAGATCCATGTTTTACTATGAATGAGAATACTTGTTCAATCAGACAGGCATGAGATGGAAACCGATACTTAAAGAGTGGCAACCAAGTATGTAATGGAAATGTTACATAAGTTATTTCATTTAATACTTACAACAAGCCTTTGGGGAAGGCCTTATGCCTATTCTATAGATGAGGAAACTGGGAATCTGAGCAGCTAAGGAATTTTTCCAAATGTTACACAGTTAGATAGAGACTCAAATTTGCATACTGTTTCCACAGATCTGTGTTACTTCCCATGGATTAGTAAATATTTACCTGCTTTTCTGACTTCTGATGTTTGCTCTTTAGAAAAGAAAAATACAACAGGGAAAAAGGGAAGAAAAAGAAAGGAAAGAATAGTTTTTTTTTTTTTTTAATTTAAGTACCTATTGAGCATCAACTGCAGATATTGCTGATTGAATTCTAATAATAATGGCAATAGAGGCATATACTCAAAATGGCAAAGAAACACACTGATAACTAATATTTCTAGAAACAGTAACTAGAAATCTATTTTGGAAATAGAACCATTTTATGAACAATCTTAAAGAGTCTCTTCACATATGTCAACCGTTAATTATTACAATATTCTTCACATTAGTAGCAATAATACAAACTAAGTAGACTAGAGATTTTATCCAACTCAAAGGCAACATTTAATATTTTACATTGGCATAGAATATATTCAGAAGAAAATTGTAGCTGTATTTGTAAGAATATTTCATAACATTTAAGTTATTATTAGTCCTTGTCATTTAAAAACTTTAGATACAACTTCGAGATACACTCTTATTGAAATGCACATATTTTTACTCCAGGGTAAAGCCTGGGTCACAATTTCATAGTATTAAATAAACATTTCATTTTTATAAGATTGCATGACATTCATACATTTTAAAGATTTCATAAATTGTTGCGTTTTTATTACTGTTTGAAACCAAAATAAAAACAGTAATTCTGAAATATTAAAAACAACTCACCTTTCAGTTTTGAAAAAAATAAGAAAATAAAAGCTAATGTGTTAAAATTAAATAACTGAGGACAGATCATGAGTTCTGAATTTTTCTTAAGCCAGTGGTGACTAGTAGAGGGAACTCCAAACTGTGTTTCCTCAATACATCCTAACAAGCAACTGATGTAACCACGTTTTTGTTTTTTTTTCTGCACAGGTCCTAGTTATCACGGTAAATGTCTTAATTTCACAGGTATTGTTATAGGCACCTCTCACCGACACCAGCCCCCTAAGCCAATGGGAGAGGGCTGTTCCCAACCTCAATCCTCGTTTAATCATATAAATGAATGTATACGAGACACCTTGCTTGCGTTGTGAAAAGCCAATTTATTAAAGCAATGAAAGCATGTATCTTTATTGAAAAAAAGCAAAAACGAAGCAGGCAAACCTCTGCATCTGGCTTATGAAGCACAGACGGGCTCCCAGCTCATCTGAAGAGCAGGTTGGGTGGGGGTCTGAGGCGTTACACACCCTCCTGTTTAAAGGCTTCAAAATTCCTCTGCTGACTATTTGGGCACAGATTCATTCTCAAGGTCCCTTTTTATTTACTTTGTTGTGTCCTTCCCAGAATTCATGAGAGGCACTTGACAACTTCATCTCGCCAAGCCCTGAGACTACGGCTTCTCTGCTTAGGGAGTAAGACGGCCCTATTTTCCTTTTCCCTCCCCCCCTTCCCTTCCTGCATTCTCTCATTAGGGAGGTTTTTAGCTCTTTGCTCAGGTGTCGGTGCCTGGGGAAGATAATGGCCTGTTAGTTACAAGCTGGCTGCAGAGTGCCCACACTGTTTGGCCTTGTTTTAACTGTCCTGTCTCAGTGTCCCTGTTTCTCGGGCCTGGAATCCTGTAACAGTTTTAGCTGGCTCCAACTGTCATGTCCATATTTCCTCCTTCCTCTCACCCCTGACCCTACATGCCTAGCCCTGTTTCTAACTCCTCTCAGTATGAAAACAAACAAAAAAATCTTTTTAGGCATTCTTTATATATCCTGGTATGGTATAATACATCTAATAAGTGCTCAATAAATACATGTTCAAGGGTTAATAAATACAATACATACAATATTATTTCTCAAAATCATTTCTATTGTTAACGTCATAATGGCTATAGCCATTATGTACTTTTTGACTGCATGTACAAGTCAAATAAATTACACATTCAAAATAATAGCAAGTTCTTAAAATTCTAAAATGGTACACTTACTTAAAGTTGGTTTTGGTTTGTCTAAAAAGTAAAAAGAAAAGAAAATTAGTGATAATTTTCTACCTGTAGAAAAAATATCAGCCATTTTTGTTTCCTATTTCTATTTGCTCAAGTTAAAATAGGCAAAGGCTAAACTTATAATTAAAATGAGCAATAAGTAATGCATTTTGAATAATTTGTAAGTCATATTCGCAATGCATTCCCAAACAAGCAGTTGTAAAGCTTCAAAATATAGATTCTTCATGGTATCTTCTTTTTTTCCTTTTAAGTATATTTTTATTGATTTCAGAGAGGAAGAGAGAGGGAGAGGGAGAGATAGAAACATCAATGATGAGAGAGAATCACTGATCCGCTGCCTCCTGCATGCCCCCCACTGGGGATCCAGCCCGCAACCTGGGACTGGAATCGAACCCAGGACCCTTCAGTCTGCAGGCCAATGCTCTAGGGTCATGTTCTCTTCTTTATTCTTGTAAAACCTCATCTTTGGTTTGAGACAAGAGGAATGTTCATGGTAATCTGAATTCCTGATTCTGAATGGCATAAAGTGCATCTTTTATCACTGCCTTTACAGAATACATATTAATTAATGTAAACTATTTAAACTTTCCCAATCTAGTTTTTAAATGAAGGTGCTGACTTTTAAAATCGTAGGAAGAATAAATAAGAGGTAGGTGAAAAATGCAAGGCTTGACCTCTTCCTCCAAGATCGCTTGTCTTCTGAAGTTATTAATCAAAAGCTTTAATTATTCAGTCTTATATCTCAAGATCTATTTATTCATTAAAAAGTAGCTAACATTTGTTCATGATTGTGAAGAATGGGAAGCATTTAAAATTAGGTCAACCAATTAATAGTAGGCAACACAAACTGATACAACTTTTTTAGAGAACAATGAAAAAATCTATATAAATTACATTGAATACACCACTTTACTTAAAAAATGTTACTTTGTGAAATTTTACCCCAAAGATAAATTCACAAGATTAGATACGTAGATGTATTTATTACTGTAAATCATTAAAGAAAGCTTGTTAGACTACTCAATGATATGTCAATCAGAGACTAGTTAAGTAAAGTGTGTACAGCTATACATATAAGATAATAATATTAATGAGATGAATTTTTATCTACTGATATAAAAATATCTTCAAAATACACCCATGAATAGAAAAATCTCAGAAAAAGATAATTTATACTATGCTGTGATTTTTATAAAAAGTGGGAATATGTATTACTTGTAAATATGTATGTGTATGTATATATTGCTAGACAGATACATTAAGAAAAAACAGTGATTACCTATTGGACATCACTAGATATTTTGGGAATGGGAACTGATATATTAGGGGAAAAAAGAAGAGGGAGGGATATTTTCTCAGTCTCCTATTTGCCTCAGTGTTTGAAACATGCCAAATATTATATATATTAAAAATTGATGACTATTCTTAAAATAAGCTATTAAAGAATGGTATAACTTATATTTAAAGAAAATATGTCTTGTTGAAATTCATTACTAGTTTTCAGTGAAGTATGTACAATTTTATAGGATATTTTATAATACTATAGTGAATCAATGTCATCAATACGATAAACTATATTAATATTGACAACAGTCAAGTAATATTGAAAGGATCTTGTGAATACGAAAGAAAATACTATTTCGTTAGTAGTGCTGTATTATAATAGCATGTTTTCCAATCCATATATATTAGTTATAATATTCAGCAAAATGTTTGTCAACAATACCACAGCCCCATGTCAGATAAACTAGGTTTTACCACAAAACTAGAAGACTAAGCACTCTCAGAAAATAAAAATAAAAAAGCATTTTATGCTTTGCGTTCATTTTCAAATTTAATAAAAGTAATGAATTAATACAATGTAAACCAAAAGACAAAATCACCCGTTTTTATATGTGGAGATTCTTTTTCTTGATGTTCAGCTTTTTCTAGAGAGACAGAAATCAAAATTGGTGATCAGTGGATTGTTTGTGTAGCAAGCTTTTCTTTATTTATATATTTGCAGGCTATCGTTGACATGGGAAGCATGCCCCCAAAGTCATTTGCATGTAACTTGGAACACAGAAAGCATATTGCCATAGAAACACATTAAAAACAAGGTCAGGTTCATTCTCAGGGCATCCTGTAAGACAGTTGCAAAGATACTAGCCTTCTTGGGGTCAGGTGGTATAAAAGAAGAAGATAGAATATGACAAAGAGGGGAACAAGAAGAGGATTTTTCTTTCTTTGCTGAAGGTTGAGTCATTCCTTGGGGATATTTTAAAGTCGATGACATTTGCTCTAGGCATATACAAGCTCCCTTTTTACCTCTCTGACTCCTTCTAGTTCCCTTCTCACTGGGTCAGAAGCAATTTGGTGCTGGACATATGTTTCTTGTAGAAAGTTAACCTAGACCTGCCCTATTCCAGAAAGTACCACATTTGTATTTGCATTTTCCTGGACTACGCACACTCTCTTTACAGGTCCAGTTAGAATTCTCACAGATAAATGTGAGCTAAGTCTAGGACATGACAAACTGAATCAAAACGTGTAACTGATATCCCTCTTCGTCTCTGAAAAATATTCGAATAAAAGAAAAAAAGAGGTTTCTCTCTTACATCAAAAGTAGAATTCCAAATGAAGCCATGTAGGGTAGGATATTTAAAATAAAATTGAGAATATTCAAAAATAGAGACCATTGCCAAACATTAATTCTTTTTAATTCTTTCTTTCTAATCACCTCCAGGGCTAGTCTTCATGAGATATTATTGATATTTACCCATTCTTTGATTATCTCACTCCTGAGTTTGGAGACTCCCTAAAAGTACTGCTATTTATCCATGGTTTCACCAACAGTGAAGGAGGTGGGGAGATGTGGGATCCACACTGACATAAGACTAAATTGGATATATGTAAATTAGGGATTGACAGAATTCAAAAATGAACTTCAATGAACTTAGTTTGCATAAATATTAATATTAAATAAGCATGCAAAATAAAAAGGAAATTAAGAAGTTAATATTCAAGACTGTCATACTAATAACAACACAATAGCATAATAGTTATAGTAATAATACTATAAAATGTTCTTTCAAAATGTGAGCGGTTCTAGGATGGGGATAGTTAGCCTCTATGTTTGTAGCGTATCTCCTAAACAATTTATACAGCCTCCTAATGGCCTCACCAAATTCATCTTTGGACCTGGTTGATCCATTTTCATACAGGAGCTAGAGAATATTTGACCAGCTTATGCCTTCATCTAAGCTTCTGTTTCACAAATATATATAATTCAAGAACCATCATCACAATTTGATACAATCTTGGACTTATTTATGATTTTTGTAACAATGGGCAAATGTTCCCACCTTCCTGAGTCAAAGAGTCAGCTTTTAAACTCCCGCAACTTTATTAAGCTCTGTATAACTCCTGAACAATAACATTACTGATCATTGAAGTTCACACTCATGAGAAAATTCCATGATTTTAATAAATCACAAAATGTTTATAATCTTATGAATTTCTAAATACCAATGAATATCTATGATATAATTAATGCTTCTTAAAACATACAAATTAAAACTGTATGTGGTTCATAATGCTAACAATTATATAGCATATCCTATTTTTTGTTATGTATTATGTATGTTTGAAAGGTGCTCATCTATCCTAACTTCTTAGTGTTATTTTATAGCTGATATGGACTCACTATGTTAATATTAATATCAATACAATTTCCAGATATGGCTTCTGAATAATATAGTTAACTATTAATTAGTAGTGAAAGGGAAGGATGTTAAATCAAAGCCATAACAATAACATTAATTTGTCACCTATATGGGTGTTTTAGTCAGAGGCAACACTAAAAATATTTTTTAGAAAAGCACATGGTTAAACTTGAAATGATCAAGCAATACTTTTCAGCTTTTATTCTTTTCATCTCTTACTTGCTGATTTAGGCTTGACTGTGGAGAATGGAAAAAAAATAAATGCCATATTGATGAGTATAAACCATGGAAAATAATTCCTTAGCATTATACTTTCTTAGTTTTTAGATTTTCTTCTTAAACTTAATCTATTCTCTCTGCTAATAAAAAAACAAAGACACACAAAATGTATGTAAAATTTAAAACAATCCATGCATTTGGAACAAATACATTGGGCTACTTTCTTTTTAATCCCCAAATACCATATAACTAAATAAGATACTCAGGAGGCAACAGTAACACCTTAGGGTGAATATTAGGGGCACATTAACTGAAATTATGAGCTTAGGCAATGATTTGAATAGAGTACATTGTCATAAGAGGAATGTGAAGTGGCCTTATGCATTTTTTTCTCATGTGATATTAGCTTGTAATTTCTCTTAATAGTTCTTTCTCGAGTTCTATTATATTTTCTCTGAGAGACTGTATTTAAAACTTTATTATCATAATTATCTCAGTTAAAAGAAATTACTTCACAGATTTTTTCCTTTGGAATTATTTTTAAAAAGAGATGGGACTCTTGATGACCAAGGTGTGGGGGATTTCTGTTTTGGAATCAAATGGAGGAGATTCTGTGTGTCAAGTTGTCAGTAGGACTGAAGACACAGTTTTGTTCATCCTTACAGAAAAGACTTCTAGAACTGCAAGAGTGTGTGCACTTTATTTTTCTCACATGAAACATAAAAGGATGGACTGTCTGTCCTTTAATATTACATATTCTGCTTATCATTGTTTAGGACAGATTTTAAAAGTTATACAACCATGTAGCTCTCTGTGGAGTTCTCATGAGAGGAAATTATTCTATATAGTGCATAAATAACAGAGAATTTAAGTTTTTTGCCTCTTTATATTTTGAGAAAATGTGGTTTCAAGATAAAACACTTACTAATACATGATAATCAATGCATGACATGGATTTCTTCAAGTATTATATGTAAACTTAGGTCAATCACATTTAACAAAATAAAATTATGTTACTCCAGTTTTCCAGTGTTAAGTTTTATTGAGTATAACTTTAGTTATTTACAAGAATTCAGAATCTTAGAATTTATGGCACCAAAAACATACAAACTTCAGTGAAGGTGTGTGTGTGTGTGTGTGTGTGTGTGTGTGTGTGTGTGTGTGCGCGCGTGTGTATACTCATATAACAAAAAAGACTGATATAGAAGAAAAATATAAAATATCTATTTACCTGTTTTTTCTATTGTGGTGGCTTTTACCTGCTTGACACCTTTTTCTTCTGTGATGGGAAAAATTTGAAATGTGTCAGTACAAATAATGACGTACTTCAACCATGATATTGTGTATTCTTTTTGAAATAACACCAATACTGAGAAAAACATAGCTTTTCCTTAACAAAATAGAAAGTGATGTCTTTTATTTAAGTTGGATGAAAGCACAAAGAAAACGTGTCCACCTGCAGACGTCCTTTGCATTTATTTGGCCATAAGAGTTTTCCTACTTAAATCATCCCTCAGCCTGCCCACACACTCCTTATTCCTTGTCTTTACTGTACTTCACCGTGTTTGTCTACAGAAAAGTGTTGTTTTATAAAACATGTATCCCCTTTTCATTATTGAATTGGAATACGAAGAAGCAATCTTTTATCTTGTCAGGCAAGAGGCCTCCCTGGGAATCCAGGATTAGCTTGGAAACTCAAGGTTTTTTATGGTATAAAGCTGGGACCGGACAAAAGTGGTATATTTATAGGATGTCTTCTGTTCTCTCTGTTTTTATCAATTTAGTTAAATATTTGGGTCAAAGTAGAGTGATTATTACAATGATCTTATAAAATTAAACTTTTCAAGTATTTAACATGGGGGTCAATCAGCTGGTTAAATATCCAAAGAGGGAAGCTTTATAGGGAAACAGAATTGAAAGAGTCTCGTTGTTGTTACTGAAATAAAAGAGGGTTGAGTTAGGGGATAATGCATTTGCTCATTCAAAGCCTAAAATCTCCCATTCTCTCCGTAATAACTGACTGTAATAACTCAAAATGACTGACATCAGAAACAGCGAAGAAAATAACAGATTTTCATTATTCTTTAACAATTGTTTCTCTTGTTTTGCTGATGTTGATATACACAGCTATTCTCTCCTTCACACACTCCAGTCTTGCTTTCTTTATTCCCATGGGTTCTGTTGTTGATGTCTCATATTTTCAAAAAACATAAGCAAATAAAAGCATTCTAACTCATACCCATTGTAAATAGATTCTTTAAAGTAAAATTTGAAAAATGTAAGTAAAAGGTTCCCCAAGATATGTTTAGAGAAAGTATGCTTTTAACTTTTAAAAGTTTCTGGACAAACCATATTCATAACATTTGGTAAATATTTTAGCATGGAATGAAGTAAAAAAAAAATTCTACAGAATAACAAGCTTAGGGCTGCCTCAAGATAAAAATTATTACTTAATTAGCTTAAATTAAAACAAAGTTTCTCTTCTTAAGCAAGAACTAATTAATAAACTCATCTTGGTAACTTCTATATTTATCTTTCTGAGCAGAACACTTTCACTCTACTTTGTCCAAAATGTGAGACCAGGAATAAAAAGAAAGAAATGGAGACGAAGATGGAGTAAGGAAGAAAGGAGGGAAGGAAGTAGGGAGAAATGTCAATTTCCTTTTCTTATTTTGGAGTCTGAGATGATCACGTTTGAAAAAGCCAATCTGAATTGCAAACATTTCCTAAGGATGCCTTGCCCCAAACAGAAGAAGATAATGTAATACCTAAAGCCCATTCACCTGAGTGCTGGCTATGGTGTCTTGGTGCTTAGCTAATTCTCTAATGAGAAGGAAGATTAGCTGTGTCATTACTTGGGACTGGTCAAGTCTTCAGTACAAAACACATTGTGATGATGACTAAAATGGAATGTTCCAGAATCTGGATGGCCCAAAACTTGGATCCTATCTAATCACTTTAGATTGACTCTAAGCTCTTCATTCTGCTAGAACGAAAAAAATCCGATACTGCAAATACCACCTGCAAAATACCTGGTTTACCATGAGAAACAGTCTTTTCTGGTTTCACTATGTCTTGTTCTAAAAATAATTAAAAGAAAATATTTTTAGGTGTTGAGCTTTATAAACCAACATACAGTGATTTTTTTCTGTGACTTCAACAACTGTGCCCATGGAGAAAAACCCTTCCTAAATGTTCATGTCATTCTAGTTTACATGAAAACCTTAAAGGTTTTAGCTTTAAAAAACCATATACCAAGAATTATTATTTATACTTAAGCATCTGTAATACCCAAAGATCAGGCCATAATAAAGCATCAGTACTAAAACAGAGAGCTTAGGCAATGTTTGGAATAGAGTACAATGGTCAAGTGAAATAATGTGAAAATATATATTATTAAAAATGTTTTAAAAATATCTTATAAAAGATTCTATAGGAGTATTATAGGTAAAATTCATATGTACACTGTGCATTTAAGCTTTTTCAGATGAAGCTAAAAACCTTTGATTTACAAAAATAAATAATATTAAATAAAATCACTGCAAAACTATATTATTTAACAATAATAAATAAAAATTTTAAATGATATTAGGCATACCTAGAAGTTTCAAATGGCTTTAGGCTTCTGGTTTTAAAAAAGGGAGGGAGGGAGAATATGCAAAGTGTTTCTATCTGGTAATACATATTCATCTGCATAATAAATATAGTCAGAAAAATAAATCAGAAAACAACAGCTAGGCATCTATGAGCCTTGTTACATTGAATATATGTTGTTTATAAGAGCAACTAGATTCAAGCTTATAATCAGTTGCTAAGTAAGAGCTGGTAAGAATTAAATGGGCGGCCGAAACCGGTTTGGCTCAGTGGATAGAGCGTCGGCCTGCGGACTGAAGGGTCCCAGGTTTGATTCCGGTCAAGGGCATGTACCTGGGTTGCGGGCATATCCCCAGTAGGAGATGTGCAGGAGGCAGCTGATCGATGTTTCTCTCTCATCGATGTTTCTAACTCTCTATCTCTCTCCCTTCCTCTCTGTAAAAAATCAATAAAATATATTTTTTTTAAAAAAAGAATTAAATGGGTAATAATAGTATTGTGTGTGTGTGTGTGTGTGTGTGTGTGTGTGTGTGTGTGTGTGTGACAGAGAGAGAGAGAGGGAGAGACTTGGATTCTTGAATTTATTGATAGTAAAGAATCCTGCTGTGTAATTTTTTTTATAATGAAGAAATCACTTCCATAGAGCCTGAGGGTTTATGTAACTTGCCTCAGGTAAATAGCTAGTTGGTATCAGAGTTGGGACATAACACTAAATAGCAATGTAAACTTGGAAAGGTCAATGTTACTTCTAATAAAATGATTGTGAGTCTGAGACAATCTCTTACTGAGAGCACCCAGGATTTTGAGTAAATCAGGCATGGGCAGAATCCTAACTCCAACATTTATTAACTTGAAAATCTGGGAAGAATAACAATTTCTGAACTTGGTCTATTGAATTGTTTCTACAGATAATATGAGCAGTAATTGTCATGTTTCATGTCTCTCACAGTTATATGATGAATGTAAAAATTCTATGCTATTCCTTGACTCGTAGGAGGTATTTAATAATAATAATATATGTAATAATAATATATAATAATAATTCTTGTGCTCTTTCCCTTTAAATCTCAGTAGTCTATAATTTTGCAATTTTATACTGGTGTGTTGTCAGAAAAAGCCCACAAATTATCATACTTAATTTTGAAGAACCCAAAAAAATACTTCGTAAATACTGGAGTCTCTGCTGAAACCCATTTAAAGCCATATTTTTTATATTTTTGCCAATGGGATATCCCCATTCTCAACTAATCCAGTGTTATAAAACCATATTGATCAATGGAGCAGAAATGAGGATCAGGGAGACTGTGAAAATCTCCACTAGTGGGTGATAAGCCTCTTTTAGTTCTAAAATGAAGCCATAGCAACTCTATCAATTAAACAATAAAAAAATGTTACCTGGTTTTGTTTCCTTTTTCACTTGTGGCTCTGAAGGAAAAACAAAATGCAGAAATTAAAAAATTGGAAAAAACAAACTAGAGACCAAATTCATTTTTGGAAAATCATTTTGTTTACCATAATTGAAAAAGCAAAACTGCTCTAAAATTATTCCAGTTTCATGATAGTTTCTCAGTGCTGGACTAGGAAACACACAGAAGTTAGAACCTTGCCCTATACTAAGTTGTTGCTACTGCTAATTGATTTTAACGTGAATTTTGTTTTCTCAAGATGATTGTTGTAAAGAATAGTTCCAATGTCAGCATAAGATAAATAATTAGAGAGTTGGAAGAGTCTTTTTGAAATAGATATAATTGGGTGCTTATGTGATTCAGAAGTTTACACAAATAGTGTTATGGCTTGAATTGTGTCCTATCAAAAGATACGTTGAGGTTCTAACCCTAGCACCCCAGAACATGACCTTATGTGGAAGTAGGATTGTTGCAGATGTGATTGATTTAGGTAAGACAGAGTCATGCTGGTGAAGGATGGACCCTTAACCCAATCTGGCTGATGTCCTTAAGAAGAAAAAAGAAAAGAGCAACAGGATAGAAACACACGGAAAGGAGATGTCTAAGTGCTGAGGGAGGCAGAGCTTGCATGATGCTTCTACAAGCCAGGGAACAGCAAGGATTTCTGGCAAAGATTCTTCTCTATAAGCCTCAAAAGAACTGTGGCTCTGCTGACATTTTAATTTTGGACTTGTGGCCTCTAGAACTATGAGAGAATAAATTTTCAGTGTTTTAGCCTACGCAGTTTGTGGTGCTTTATTCCAGCCTTCCAAAGAAACATCATTTTAGTACCGAGAAGTGAGGTCACAAATACCTATAAATACAGAAGTAGCTTTGGAGTTGGGTAATGGGTTGAGGCTGAAAAATTTTTGAGGCACTTGATATAAAAAGCCAGATGTATTGACATTAAAGTCTATTCTGCTGAGGACTCAGAAGGAGTTGGGGGAAGGGGGCTATAGAGCAAGCTTCTGTTGCTTTGAGAATACATATGTCATCATGAACGGAACATTGTTAGAAATAAGAATGTTGAATGTACTTCTGCTGAGATCTCAGAAGGAAATGAGGAACATGTTAGTGAATACTGGAGGAAGGGTGATGTTGGTTACAAAAAACCTGTCTGAATTGTGTTCTTCTGTTGGCTGGAAGGTAGAATTTGTAAATGAAGAATACGGATATTTAGTTGAGGAAGGTTCCAAGCAAAGTGTGAAACAGTAAGCCTGATTTCTCCTTGCTGCTCAGAATAAAATGTGAAAGGGAAGATAAGTTGAGGAAGGAACTGTTAAGCAAAAAGAACTAGCATTTGAAGATCTGGAATATTTCCAGCCTAGCTAAATAGCTTGCATGGGGGATAGGGCCACGGGTGTGGATGGACAACATTTTGCTGAAATGGGTAAAGAATAATGTGTGACTCATGGATCCAATCCACCATCTCAGCAGAAGGCAGCGATAGCGACGTGGTGATCCAGGAAAGATCTATGGAGGGCCTTCCTGTCCAATGGCTTAGACCCCCCATTACCTGAAAGCAGGACTGGTCATGTTTGCGAGAATATTACACAAGCAGAGAGGCAACATAGCATGGATACAAAGGGACAGAAATGGGGTGGAATAAAGGGTTAACAACTTGAAGGGCAGAGCAATGGATCCAAACTTGGGCGGATGGGACCCCCTCATGTAGAGAGGGCAGGCCTGCCACTTAGATGGTGCAAGAGGGCAGAGCAACACCCTACCTGGCCCAAAGGATACAGCAGTGAGCCAGAGAGGATTTTCTCAGGCTTTGAAATCTAATGGAATTTTTCCTGCTATGTTTTGAATTTACTTGGAACCCGTGACTCCTTTTTTTTCCTTTCCAATTTCTCCCTTTAGAAATGGAAATGTCTATCCTATTCCTGTCCCACTGTTTTATTTTGGAGGCAGTAATTTGTTTTCTGGTTTTATAGGTTCACATACGGAGAGGAATTGTCTGCAGGAAGAATCATACCCCGAGTTTCACGCATAACTGATTTACATAATGAGATTTGGGACTTAGAGTTGATGAAATTTTGGACTTAGAGTTGATGCTAAAATGGATGAGACTTAAGGACTGTGGAATGGGATGCATGCATTTTGCATGTGAAGGGCATACATTTGGGGGAGGGCAATGAGCAGACCTCCCTGCATTGAATTGTGTCTTCCAAAAAACATGCTGGAATCCTAACACCCACTACCTCAGAATGTGACCTTATTTGAAAGTAGGGTCATTGTAAATATAATGAATTAAGAGTTTGTCATATGGGAGTGGGACGTGACTGGTGCCATCAGAAGAGGAGAAAAGGTACAAAGATAGAGACACAAAGAGAGATGATATCCAAGTGGTGACAGAAGCTGAGATAGGAGTGATGCTTCTACAAGCCAAGGAACACCAAGGATTGCTGGCAAACACCAGAAGCCAGAAGATGCAAGGATTGATTCTTCCCTACAGGTTTCAAGAAAAACATGGCCCTGTTGACACCTTGATTTCAGACTTCTAGCTTCTAGAACTATGAGAAAATAAGTTTCCGTTGTTTTAAGCCACCTGGTTTGTGTATTTTATTATAGCAGCCATACAACCCTAATCCAGTTATAAACATGAACCAGAATTTTAACTGTTATGAGGATCTGAATTCCCTTTGTTCATTTAAAATGGTTTCTGCTGCCTGCTACAGCCCTCAGAAATGTTTATCTCACTCAGGAGCCCCCAGGAAGAGGAGAGTGAGAGCAGCTGTGTTTCTGATGAAATATTTATGATGCCTATGTCAGCACATAAAATCAGCAAAAATAGTGGTTGTGTAGGATTGAACCCAATTAGTCAATTGTTTTTTTCTGAACCATGTACATTTCTCAGGAGTTTTTCTTTTTCCCTCTAGGAACAAGTACTATGTTTGTTTTATTTTAAAAAGTTGGTCAAAGATAAAATTTTGATGTAATATTTACACTAGGACACAGCATTTGCAAAAACAAGTTATGCTATTCATTATAAACATAGAATGCAAGTATGAATTTATACATAAAATATACATACCTGGCTTCCCTTCTTTTTTTAGTTGTGGTTCTGAAAATATAGATGTACAGTTGTAATGATGATTATATAAAATATTTATTTCCTGTACTCATGCATACAGGGGCGGGCAAAAGTGGGTTTGTAGTTGTTAGTATGGAAAATAATACAAGAATGAATTAAAAATAATGAATAATACAAGAATAAATTTTTGTGTACTCACAACTGTAAACCTACTTTTGTCCACCCTATTTCATTTACATATTATTCAGTTTTTTAGTATGCCATGTTAATTTTCTTTTTCTTATATAGTAGCAAATTAATACAAACACAAATAAAGGCTCTTCATTAGCTATCACAAGAGGCTTTTTTTGAGACAAAATAAATATAAACTAAAAATTTTAATGAGGTTAATTAGGGTACTGGTTTGTAACTCCAGTGAATAAATGATGAAGGAAAATTTTAGCATAGCATATTCTCAGAAGAACACTTAGGATAATAGGCACATTTTCTTCACAAAATAATTAAGTTTTGGATTTAAGCAAAATATTCAACAATGGAATCAGAAGATGATTAAAAGCATGCATTTAAGATTTATTTATTTATTTATTTAGGCATGCACATAACATACGTGGAGGCTTAGGCTTGACTTCTTTGCCTAGACAAAGTTAAAAAAATATTAAAGACTGAGTCACTCAATTCTTACTGAATCATCACTGAATATGATGGAACACTATAAATTTGAAAATTAAAATTAAAAAAATCAAAATTTAGTTGCCTTTCAAGACCCCAGCTTTTCTTCTTTATTGAAATTTTATAGGCTATGCAATTTAATGTTCATGCCAAGTTACTATTTTAAAAAATCATTCTAAATAATAAAACTCTTAGCTTAATTTCATTTTACCATTAAAATATAATTTGTTCACAAACTCTTATGTGCAATGTTAAATTTTAATTTTATATTAAGGTAAGACAATTTTTGAGACATTATTTTTAACACTTAGTTATGCAAGATGAAAAAAACTAAGACAATTTTTAAAAAATCATATTAATATTATCTATATATTATCTATCCCAGTATAATACATTAAAAAAATTGCTACTGAATTTGAAATTCTTATGACTAGAAATATCATTTGCTGTTATGGCATGAGGAACCCTAGTGCAGGGGTTGGTAAACTTACTGTGAAAAGTCAGACAGTATATATTTTTGGATTTGGGGCCTTATGCTCTCTGTTGCAACTATTCAACTCTGCTGTTGTAGCACGGAAGCAGTCATAGCAATATGTTAATGAATAGGAATGGCTGTGTTACAATAAAACTTTATTTACAGAAACTGGTGGCCATTGCATAGGCCATTGTTTGCCAACCTTTGCACTATCCATAGTCAGTTTTAATTTCCTTTTTAAAAAAAACTCAACAAAGGTTGTGACAGTAAAACACACACACACACACACACACACACACACACACACACACTCCTCCTTTGATTTTGTATTGTTTTATACTTGTTCTCCCATCACTGCTCAATTCAGCTTCTTAAGATTGCCATCTTTACTTGCTTTTTGTTCATCTCTTGACCTCCATTTCATTATCAATTCACTATACTCTAGCTTCTATTCCCACCATTCTATTTATCAGGTCTCTCTGATCACCAATTCTCCCCAACTACCAACATCATATGTAAGCAGAGGGATTAAGATGTTCAAGATATTCAGTTGTCAGTTATAAAAACAGCCATGGTCAATAAGAGTCAATAATATTGTAATAACCATGTATGGTGCCAAGTGGGTACTGCACTTATTGGGGTGATCACTTTATAAGATATATATATACAGTGATCACATCACATATATGTGTATGTGATGAAAGAAAAGAAATGGAGTAAGTTAGATTAAATGATTTCTAAAATCTCATCCAGGTCTAAAATTATATATTTACTAGAGGCCCGATGCATGAAATTCGTGCAAGGGGCTTGGCCCTCGCAGCTGCAGTAGTTTGCCTTGGCCCTTGCAGCCCTGGCTTCGTTTGTAAGGTCATCTGGAAGGACGTCCAGATGGTCGTTCGGCTGTCAGGTCTAATTAGCATTACACTTTTATTATTATAGATGTCAAATATTAATTTAAATCTAAATAGTAAATAATTTATTAGGGAGACGACATTTAAATAGGAATCAACCTGAAATGTTTCAGCATTCTTTTTGGCTTTATTGCTCTTTAGTAATGCTCTTTACCAAACTCTAGATAAATATTCTGCTTTGGGGGCATGTTTAAGTCTAAGGACAGATTAACAAAACCTTGTTTTTATGACCAGTGAGTATGTCCAAATATAATATATCTATTTAGTACAGAGCAGATGTTGGCTGTGCTGTAGCTATACACCTTAGCCAGAAAAAACCAACAGGCACTTTACCTTTTAAATTGACTTGAAGATTAATGTCTAAACTTTGTACTATGTATACTGAATAAGCAAACCATTTGGAGGAGGCAAAAAATATCATAAAGATTTTTATAGGATGCTTGAATCAGTTCCAAAATCTTATTGCATTTTTTTAGATGCCATCATTATTCAGCTACATATTTTATGAGTTTTTCTAATCTTAATTAAAATTAAAATGGAAGAAATAGAAATATATAGAATACATTATAACACTTTAAAAGAAATGCTTTTTGATCTGTATGTGAATTTATGTAAACAAATGTTTCTTTTTCTCCTTTTTTTCTACAGGGGTATTCTTATTTAGGGACAGTCTCATTTATCAAATGTACAGCATAAACTTACTTGTTTAAAACAATAATGTAGTGTTATCTAATGTTCAGAAATATATTTGTAGAGATTTAATAAAAATGATGTGAAGTTTAGCATTATCTATGTAGAGCTGAAAATCAGGGAAAGAAATTACAATTAATGCTTGCAAATTGCCCCTTAGTATTCTGAAAGCCATTTAGTAAGCAAAAAGTGCCTCTGACAATTGGAATTAAATTTCTGGAAACTATGTATTTTGTGTTAAGAGAGAAATGCTGTCCAGTAGATAAGAAGTAAAAGCATTGTTCATGTTTGTCTTTAATTTTAAAAGCAATCGTACTCGGCAGAATGATAAGATCATTTTGGGGATGTTCTTTAAGGTCTATTTGTATTGAGGTCTGTGGCTAATGTGGCCTCCTACAAAGATAAGCCCAGTGAAACTTCTATAGAGAAAGGGATTTTTCATCCTCATTTGGCTTTGTATTGTGCTAAGTTTTCTAGTCACCAAATATTTTGTTACATTTCTTGAAGCGGTACTCTAATAAATTACAATGGAATCATTTTAGTTGTTATTCAAGCATCCTTTGACCATTCTGTTCTGACAATCCCTCTGAGACAATTATTTTATCCACTGTCTCAAATGAATGGTGAGGGGTCTTTTGGGTCCTGTCCTTTGATATTCAAATGGATTACAAGTTATGTAGATGAAACTGTTTAAAGGTAATTGTTTGTTTTCACCATAATCAGGTATGAGATACTGGAAGATTTTATAGATATACTAGAGGCCTGATGCACGAAATTTGTGCAAGGGGCTCGGCTGTCACAGCCCTGGCTTTGTCCAGAAGGTCATCTGGAAGGTCGTTTGGCTGTCTGGTCTAATTAGCATATTACGCTTTTATTATTATAGATATAGATTTCAGAGAGGAAGGGAAAGGGAGAGAGAGATAGAAACATCATGATGAGAGGGAATCATTGACTGGCTGCCTCCTGCACACTCCACACTGGGGATCGAGCCTGAAACCGGGCACGTGGCCTGACCACGTATCAAACTGTGACCTCCTGGTTCATAGGCTGACGCTCAACCACCGAGCCACACCGGCTTGGTGAGACCGGAAGATTTTAATCGTAAACCAACAGAAAAATAGAGGAGGTTAATCTGAACCATTACTTTAAAGCCTTTTTTTATATAGAACTTGATATAGCATTGACATCACACCGTGATTATCAAACTATTCAATTATTTATTCGACAAGCATTTACTCAGCACTTAGTTATGCTAAGCACTTCAGTCCCTCAAAGGTATTTAGCCTATAAGGTTGACCTACTAATTGAAACAATTGCTGTGGACGAGTTTAATTCTGGTAACAGCCATAGAAATGAGTTTTGGTTGAAATGCTGTGCTAGGTGCATCTCCTTCAAAGAGCACCGGAAAGGACCTGAGTTCCAGATATCACACATATCCTTTGAAAAGTTGGGGAAGAATGGAATATGAAGAGATATATGGGTTTACTTCACTATTGACCCACATATCTAACTTCCTATAGAATAATAAATATACCACAGGAAACTTAAACTTCATAAATTCCAACTTCGAACCATGACCTACTACTCTCTCCTCCAAACACGTTCCCTGTGTTGGTAAATGATACCTCAGTCCACCTACGGTTCCAACAAGGAGGCTGGCGTCATCCCACAGTGTTCTCCATGCTCTGCTGTCCCTGGGCAGCTGTTCCAGAGGCCTGCTGATGACAGGGCCCCAATGTGTCTGGAGTACTTCCGCTTTTCCACTTGGACTTCGTTCCCTCCTCAGTGTCTAGCTCCATTATAGCCTCCAATACATAATTTTCATTCCGTTTCCTTTTTAAGCTGATGTCTTTCCCCCCGTCTTGCAAGTTTTCACCATGCCATGCTCATTTATCAAGACTCAGCTCAGCTATTGTCTCCCTCTGGAAGCCATTCCTGAGCTCCTTCCAAGACGGGTTCGATGCCCCTAATCTGTACTCTAGCATCCTAGGTCAGCCCTCATCCCTGCACATTGTAATTATTTGCAATACTTTGTAATTATTTACTCATTTGTCTTCTCCAAATACATTGTGAAATTCATTAGGCAGGGACTGTGACTATTGTCTTAGCATTTGTAGCAGGATGCATTGTCTCAAAGATAGTCAACAATAGTTGTCTTTAATGAACAAGTGGAAACTCTACATAAATGGAGCATTCCTTTGCGGAGAAATGCAAAAACTAAACACACTCCCACTGACAACTCATCAAAGACGCTACACATATACAGTGGGGCCTTGACTTACGAGTTTAATTTGTTCTGTGATGGAGCTCATAACTCAGATTACTCGTATGTCAAATCAAATGTGAATGAGTGAGACACGTGATGCTGGGCTGATGTTGTGGCATTCACTGTGACGTTCGCTGAGCCATCTAGCAGTGGGGTATCTGAAGCTGGCTCATAACCCGAATTTTAGCTCGCAACTCAAAGCAAAAAATTGGCTGAGAGACAGCTCATATCTCAAAAAACTCATTAGTCGGGACACTCGTAAGTCAAGGCCCACTGTACTTGAGAAAGGGTTGCAAAAAAGAGTCATTATTCTGTGGCTCTTTACTGAAATATATCAACATAAATCTTCCTCCCTCCCCCCCACTTAGTAGGTTTTTCAAAATTGTGTATGATCACCTTGCTTTGAGATATGTGAAAGTAAAACGTGCAAATTTGTGCATGGGATTTCTCATTAATGTAGATTATGGTTATTTCATTGAAGAAAAGGAGAAAATTATACCATGTTTAAGTGTGACTACTGAGTAGTTTTGTCTGGAATATAAAATTTTTTGAAGAGCATTTTTAATGGACTAGCACCACCTGGTACAGCATGTTTTAATTATTAACATTTACTGAACTATATT